AAATAGTTGATAGTAAGATAGAGTATAATTTTGGAACAAAATAGGGAAGTTATGTTAAAATCAAAAGAATAAATTTGACTTAGGTGCTGGAAAGGTTGCTATTTAAATGTATGCTAATTCAGAGACTTATTAAAACTCTTAAATAGATAAAAATCTCAATATATTTACAATAATAAGTCAAATAATTTATATCGATCCAGGTTCGATCCCTGGCTGAGGTGATATTTTTCGTAATATATATTTCTAGTGGGGGGGATAATAAAAGGAGATTTTAATCGATATCAATAATATTGATCATCAAATTATTATACAGCCACTACGTTGAAAGTCTGTTAAACCAAGCGGCACGTAGTTGGTAATATAATTAATTGAATTTATTTTATATTAAAAAGACTAGCAACTAAGATTCTGCTTGCTGAGGAAATCCCATGTTTCGCGTTATAACTTTTTAATTAATTTATACCGATAAGCGGAGAAACCTGATTGAGGAAAGGAGGAATACAAGCAGAGATTCAATCTAGTATGAGCGCATTAATAAATTAAAAAAACATTCTGGAGAGATGTGAGATTTTACAACACATGAATTATCTACCAAATCATCGAGGACAACCTGAATCTGAAAGTGCTTCGTTTTAAATTTGCTAAAGGAAGAGAGAAATAGTCAAAGAGTAAAATAATACGACAAAAACGAGATACTGGAGACTATACATAGGTTTTATAAAGAATTCTATACGTTCGTCGCAGTGCCAGCGCATTTGGACGGCTCGAGGAACAAGAAAATATTAAATGTAGGATCAAAAGAAATGCCAGAAATAACGCGCCAAGAGGTATCAGCGGCGGTGAGAGAAATGAAAGGTCGGAAAAGCCCGGGCGAGTATAACGAGCGAATTGCTGAAGGCAGGTGGGGCTGTGCTTGAGGGGGCGATGTGCGAACTATTCAATAAGTGTCTACAGGAAGGGAAAATCCCAAAGAACTGGGAAAATGCTGAAGTAATACTCTTATTCAAAAAGGGAATCCAGCAGTCATAGACAATTATAGACCCATCAGCCTACTAGACACCATCTATAAGCTATTCGCGAAAACAATCACAAAATGCTTGACACAGAATTTCGACT